CTACCAAAGTCCGTATCGTTTTTCTGTAATATATTTCTCAGACTTCTCTTTCAACTAAGTATTATTATTTATAAAACCCTACCCCAATTTATGACCGTTCTTATTAAAAGATTAGAACTGCAACAATGGGAAGTGCTTGACTCCTCCATATTTTGATAAAACCATACAGAACAAAGTCAAATACGTGCTTTTTCGTAAGCGATAATGTTTAGATAAGAAACTCAGTTGTAAAGCCATAAATTCTTCTAAAACAATTTAGTGTAAGATGTCCTTTCACTAAACAGTCAGAAAGCACAACATTCGCTCCAGCGAATGTACAAGTGAGCTTACGTCAAATTTTTTTTAAATACCTTATAAACTTAGGTTATCTATTTTTTGAAGTTACTTGGAGAAAAAAAATTAATGTAACCTGGGTAATGCAACCATAAAGTAATAAATCAAAGTCAAACTTCACTACCGTACGCTAGCACGCACCGACATTACCAAAAGAGCTTGAAAAAACTCCTTTCTAAGTAAAATGGTAAAAAGCAAAAGTTAAAATAAAATACCTTCGCCAAAAAATTGAAAAGAAATTATCTGTAAACTTTTAAAAAAAATTTAAAACCTTATCTCAAATTTCCTCTTGTGCGAGGTTCCCTACAAGGTTTTGTGCCCAAAAAGGCGTCTCTAATTACTCTTCCTATCATAACCTTTGCAAATGCGTAAAGTGTTGGAAACCTCATTAAAAAACTAAAAACACGATCAACACACGAAGAAAATTATAAAATTCACTACCAAATTATATAAATTAAAAAAGCAACTTTTTTTCACGAACTTGGGTATCTATAAAGTTTCAAGACTGCTCTGAAAATTCTATAAAGCCACAGCCCGCAGCCCTTTTCCTTACGAAAAATAAATAAATCAAATAACCCTGTTCAAAAGTTTTTTGCTGATAACACCTGAGCTACAAAAATAAACGCACATAAACATCCAGTTTAAGAGCAAATCTAACCTCTCCAAGTAGTTTCCAAGCGTCATCGCTAAGCGATTCGCCTGCGCTCATCAGACGCACGCGTCGAGCACACAGCAACTCTGAAACAATGCAACGATCAGGAAAAAAATATGCAAGTAATTGAGCAAAATTACATTTTTCCATTTCAAGGCTTAGGAACCCCATAAGTGAAAGTTATTTAAAGAAAGATGAAACGAGTTCCAAAGTGATAGACCGCTAAAGAGTTTACAAATTAACATACAGCGAAACCAAGAAATAAACGAGAAGTATTAGATTCCAATATGTCAAAGATTGGCAATAAAGATTTTATGAAACGTCTTTCAAAACCAGTAACTGAACAGTGATCCATTCTCAGCACAAATTACCGTTTAAGAACTGTAATATTTCTAAACAGTAGAAAGAAACATTTTATCACTCCTTATTCACAGCAGAATAAACTTAGGTTATCAAACATTTAACACATTAGAAAGACTAATGAAGACTCAATTAAAAGCACATAGAAGAAAGCTGTAAAAAACACGAGTGCGAAATTTCGCTTAACTGTTAAAAATTATTCCAGCGAATGCAAAAGCAGAAGAAAAACGTGACAAATAAGCAGAAGCTCTCAGCCAAGACCAGAAAAAAATTTAATAGTGTTGAACCTCAAGATTCTAATGCAAACACAGAAGTGTGCCAGTTGTAAAACAATAGAAGATTAGTGGTAATTGGCTGAAGCGACAACATACATAACTGTTGCCAAGAATTGCTTAGGACTGCTAACTGACAACTCAAATGAACTGAAAGAAATCAAAAGAAGACAAAATTTCCGTCAGTAACGTTTCCTTTGTCTTCATAATCGTTCCGTATTAGCAAGCGTACAAACATCGACAAATAGTCAGAATATACTCCCCAAAACTTTTTGTGAACCTTAAGTCAGGGTTCAAAATTGCCAGAGTTTGATAGAAAAAAAAGAAGCAAAAAAAGCA